ATGTGCAGTTTCTGTCGCTCTGCCCCCACCCGCACTTAGCTTCTGGTCGCTGATGTACATTTCGTTCTGCTCCTCACGGTTCTGGACTATAGCCGTCCAGCCCGGTTGCATGGAAACTGCTAATGACCTACGGCATACGTAGCCACCGTCGGTGGTCGTCGCTTGCGAAACGATGGAAGTTGCATGGAAGCGTGATACGACTAGAAGGTGGCCACCGAACGATAGGATCGGCCACCAATAGGCTAACATATCAAATCTGTTTCGCCTCCTATTCATGCACTAGCCACCGTACATGCAGCTTTTTTGACGTACTGATTGAGACGATCGGATGCTGTCGTCGATTGATGCACTGGCTTACGACGTGGTTTTATGATGTCAGGAGGCGACGAGGGAGACTGACCAGTGGTGAGGAGTTGGGATTTAAGATCAGACCGAGGTGAGAGTCACGAGGTTCGTTGCAGCTGACAGCTGACAAAACCATGGTTTCGTCTCGCTGCCGCTGCAGCCGCCATCGTCTCACGCAACCTCATTCGTTCCTCGACTGGCTGAACTGACTGAACACCATTATTTATTGGGTCTAAGCAACGGACGACGCGGTGCAGCCTGCCATTTCGAAGTCGACCGATTGATTCGTGTTTACTTTATGACTGAAGCGTACGAGGAAAAAGCCGAGATAGACGGCCGCCCGACCGAACGGATCACTGAGTCATGAACAGCGGCTAGCGGCTTGTAACGCAAAAATGACTTTTTTGCGACCTTACACCGACCCAGGCTTTTCATTGAGCAACTCACTGATGCTAATTTTCCCTCAACGCCCTGACAACTACCCTGAAATTGTCTGACAGTCGATCCTTGGGGTTTTTTCCTTAAACGAACGATGCAGCAGATGGTTCCTGTCTTATTGAAATGTTAGCACATCTGCCATCTCAACAAGTGGTCGTCGTCTGCCGTTTTTAGGCTCCCGCGCGGGAAGCTCCCAGTTTGTCTTACAGGGCCAATTTCCTTTTTTTAAACTTAATATCTACCAAGGTCACCTGTGTCCGGAAGATGATACGGTCATTCGTGTTCGCGCCATTTATTTAGCCCCCATCAAGTCTACGCAGTTCAACCGTCTTTCCTGTTCCTTCGTCACAATAACAATCTCCATGTCGTGCAGCAACACCTTTCTTACACAGGCAAGGTGCAGGCGAGTTTTTAAAGTGGGTGCAGTAACTTTTTTTCAGCCGTAATATTGGGTCGATTTCTAAAATCATTCGAAGCTAAGGCGATCCTCACATTTAATTAACTCTTTCTACATTGTGCATCACCGCACCTAACGCTGTCCAGATACTTAAGCTAGCCAACTTCCCTGCTGCTGTTGGACATCAGCGGTACCGGATGAGTTAGTTCCTTGTAACTTTATTGATTTTTGGGCATTAAGGAAGAGGCCGACTTTTGCGGCTGTGTTACATACGGAAGTCCTTAAGTGACTAAACCTACTTCCCTTACTACGCACCAGGTCAATAACATCTACATACTGCGGGTCAGCATGGTATCTAGTCGAATATCTTCAACGATATCTTCATCTTCTCTCTAAAATAATACTTTCTCCTTTGCGGCGGTCAGCACTGTTTCGAAGAAGATAGTCGAAAACATTGTTGTTTTGCCAGAGCCGAAGCCATATCTCACTGGCGAAATCTGCAGTTGATGAGGAACCGTTCACATGACTCTCCTTCAACTTGAACAGTAGACTCTATCCCTGCATACATCTGTTATAAAATAAAAACAATGTGTTCAGGTATATCGTAGCATTTCAAGATTTTCCACATCCTTGGACGAGACACTGAATCCGGTCTATGCTCTTCTATCTATTTTGACTGCATTGATCACGTCTTAAAGCTGGGAAGTCGACTTAAGATCGAGAAAACTGGCAAACAGAGGCAACTGGGATCGTCGACTTTGGCCACTGCCCTATCCGGAAGCCTACTTGTTCTGGGTAAAATTTCCTCTCATTGGCTTGCCTGTGCCTTTCCGGCATAATCCAGGGGAAAAGTTTCCTTGTTGATGACAGTGGCGTCATACCACCATAATTACGAAACACTCGCTCATCCGACCCTGTTAAAATATTGCGACAATTGTCCCACGTTTCTGTTGTCCACGAAACGTTTGTAGGTGCACTTTTGATGAAACAGAGCAGACCATGGGGGCTTTTCTGCTGATGCTCTCTGCTTACTTAACTCCGGAAGAATTCTGTCCTCCCCACGGGCCTTCTTAAGTCTGTAGTTTAGTTAGGCCTTTTGGATTTCTAGTTTTATCGGTGTATTTGTACTGGTCTCTAGCGTTGGCAGAAAATTAACGGTCGGAAATAACGAATCGAAAGGCAGCTGCTTGAAATAATACTCAGCTGATGTTTTTAAGCGTTCCTTTTCACCTGCCAGTTGCGCACTCGTATCGTTGCATAGGGTTGCT